CACATTCCGGATTTGCGTGACCGATCTCAGCGCAGAGATTAGAAGAACCCTATACATCGAAGGTGAAAGTCGCTCTACAGGGTAGACGACGCACATGTCTCGGTTTATGGATGTGTTTTATTCTATTTCCAAGGAAGGCTGTGATGTTTTACGGAAATGACCGTCTGGATACAGTGCAGGAACATTCCAAGGAACCAGGTATAATGATGTTATTGTTTGACTTTTGCCGATAGCCTTGTATCGCTATGTTTGACTGTTGATTGTGGTTATCGTAATCGTGACAGTGAACATGCGGTTCAGCGAGCTGTGTCACAACGACACGTTTTTCGATGCTGTGATCTGGTGAACTTTCCACTTTATTCTTCTGTTCTGCAGTAGCTGTGATGATTTAATAGACTTACTTTTTTTTGTTCTTGTATTTATTTAATTTATTTGCTTCATACAAGTTGAATGATATTTGAATTTATTTTGCTAGTTTATATATTTGCTATGTGTTGTGATTGAAACATGATTTTGTAAGTGTCGTATTTTCTATACTTTTGTCTGACGTCACTTCCGGGTTATATTGTATACATCCGGTACACATGTGTTTGACATATGTAAACAAAGGTAACTTGCTGTGTATCATTTTGTTAGATTTATTTATTGCTGGTGTTTTTTTTCCCAAGGTATTGTAACATTTATTTGAGAATATCTTTGTGATTATTTGTGTCACACAGGAGACTTCATTATTATTTTTATTTTTCTAATATTTGAAATTTAGATTTTTTTTTCTTTCCCCCCCCTTTTTTTTCTCTCTCTCTCTCTGTAATTTTCTTGTCTGTGTCATATGTTAGACTAACTTAATTTGTCTTGTGTATTTTTGTGGTAGCTTGTGGCATTTTGCGAAGTATTTGCTAGCGGCTTCATTAATTTACGCAATTATTTTCTGCGCGAAGCTTACTTTTCAGCTGCAGGTTCCTGATGTAAGTAAAACTTACCCTGGTGTTGTGTTGTTATTTTTTCTTCATTTCAGATTTCATTTTCTATCTATGTTTTAATTAGTTATTCAACTTGTGTGTTTTTGTACAATTTCTCGTGCATTATTCACCATGGATGGAGATAAATTGGTCCAAGCATTCCAGGATCTAGGTGTTACTCCCAAGTGTGATAGTGCTGAGGACTTCAAGCAGTGGATGGCTGGATATGTGAAGCAGCTAGGTGAGGTTAAGGATGAGAAGAAGGATGTTGAGCGCCTAGTCGTTACCCAGAATGCCAGATTACCACCATTCAGCGGAGATCCTACAGTGAAGGGGGAGACAACCTACGATCTTTGGCGTTATGAAGTGGAATGTTTGAGGAAGGACAAGACTATCACACCTGAGGCATTAGGACAGCTAGTTAGAAGATCCCTTAGAGGTAATGCTGGTAAGGTGGCCATGCGACTCGGCACAGATGCTTCTATTGCTGATTTACTAAGACAGTTGGAGTGTAATTATGGTGTCGTTGAGGATCAGGAGGCTCTGATGGGCAAGTTTTACAATGCCAGACAAGAAGAGACTGAGGATGTTGCAACATGGGGATGTCGTCTCGAGGACTTGCTGATGAAGGCTACTAGGATGGAGCCACTTCCTACAGTTAGACGTAACCAGATGTTACACAGCAGGATCTGGAAAGGTCTTAGACCTACTTTGAAGGATCGTTCCGCAGCAAAGTATGACCTGTGTGCTGGCTACGAAGACTTCAAAGTGGAATTGAGGAAGATAGAGTCAGAGGTGAATGCAGATAAGAGGAAGATGGCTACTGTCAAGGTGGCTTGTGGTGATATGCCTTCTCCCGATGACCAACGATATGAGAAGTTGGAGGGAATGCTAAAACAACTTACCTCAGAAGTCCGGTCGTTGAAGTCCAGCAACAGTAAGCCACCGAAACCCAAGCCTCAACAGCATCAGCATCAACAGCAGCAACACAAGCAGCAACAGAGACATAATTTCCCGCAACAAGACTTCCAGGGAGATGCTGCAGAAGGATATACAGATGAACCTGAGTGCTACCGCTGTGGACAATTTGGTCACTTACAGTATGGCTGTAGAGTGCGACTGGATCATATCAGGAGACCTAACTTTAGGAGGTCAGGACCTCGTGGACATCAGCAGCAGCATTTAAATGGACAGGGACCAATGGGGAGGGGACACCATTAGGTCAAACAGTACAGAGTCCCAACAAAGATATTTGTCAGTGGTGGATTGATTGGATCAGCCAATGAAGTCCAGCTTTATGTTGATGGAAACGAGACTCGTGCACTGTTAGACACAGGCTCCACAGTATCGACGGTTGCCAAGTGTTACTATGACTCGAAGCTGTCCCATATTCCTATACAGCCGTTAACTTGTGTACTCAACATTGAGTGTGCGGATGGACAATCTCTTCCATATGTAGGATTTGTAGAGACAACTATAGCTGCTACAGGACTGGCAGGAAGGACATTACAGGACTGTGTTTTACTGGTTGTTCCGGATAGTCCGTACAATTCCAGAGTGCCTTTACTTATAGGAACCAACATCCTCTCAGTTCTTTTGGAGGTTTGTCATCAACAGCATGGTATTCGATTCCTACAGGAAGCTGATCTACATACGCCATGGTTCCTAGCGTTTAGATGTCTAAGTTCGATGGAAAAGGACCTAGCGAGGAACAATTTCAGACTTGGGATTGTGAGAAGTTCGGAAGAGAAGAACATCAGTGTACCACCCAACAGTTCTGTGATTGTCAAGTCGTATGTTGATAAGGAGATGCCATATCATCCTACCTGTGCCCTATTACAGCCAGCAAAGGACTGCATCACATCTCAGCCGGACTTGGACTTGAACCCTGCTATGATCAACTATCACTACAAAGGTAATAGGAGTCTACGGGTTCAGCTATTTAACATGTCCACTCACACCATGGTCATCGCACCTCGAGCTGTTCTCTGTGAGATTACTCCAGTCAACATGGAGGATAAAGAAGATGTCGAGAGAGAAGAACTACGTCAACAGTTTGATGATATCTTGGAGAAGTTGGAGATTGGCTCCGATACCCTGTCAGAAGATAAGGTGGCAGAAGTACGGAACATCTTGGCAGGATTTGAAGATGTGTTCTCCCATAATGATGAGGACATAGGATTTTCATCGGCTGTCAAACATCACATCGTTTTGAGTAATCCTACACCATTTAAGCAGAGGCATCGACATATCCCTCCATCTATGTATGAAGTTAGAAATCATCTTCATCAGCTGTCTAACACTGGAATCATTCGACCATCCCACAGTCCTTGGGCTTCGCCTATCGTTTTAGTACGTAAGAAGGATGGACAACTGAGGGTGTGTATAGATTTCAGGGAATTAAACAATCGGACTATTAAAGATTCTTATGCACTTCCAAGAATCGAGGAGATACTTGATGCTCTCACTGGTTCCAAATTCTTTACCGTTTTGGACATGAAATCAGGTTATCACCAGGTGGAAATTGCTGAAGCTGACAAGGAACGGACAGCGTTTACTGTTGGCCCGTTAGGCTTCTTTGAGTACAATAGGATGCCGTTCGGACTTAGCAACGCCCCGACTACTTACCAAAGGCTGATGGAAGAGTGCCTAGGTGACCTGCATCTTCAGATTTGCCTGATCTATCTGGATGATTTGATCATCTTCTCTGACACCTATGAAGAACACCTAAGAAGAATAGAGAGGGTCTTGCAGAGATTGAGGGAATGTGGCCTCAAGCTTTCCCCGAAGAAGTGTAAGTTTCTACAGGACAAGGTAATATACTTAGGACACATGGTATCAGCAGAGGGAGTGTCACCAGACCCTGCTAAGCTAGAGAAGGTCATGAATTGGACTACACCCACCAGTCCAGAGGAAGTTCGTTCATTCTTGGGATTCGCTGGTTACTATCGCAAATTCATTAAGGATTTTGCCAAGATAGCCAAGCCGCTCACTGACTTACTTCCAGGTTGTGCCAAATCTAGGACAAAGACTGGGCGAAAGAAGAAACCGAAAACTACAGACCATCCATCATGGCATTGGGGTTTAGAGGAGGACACGGCATTCCAGGAGCTCAAGAAACGACTAACGTCGCCACCCATACTTGGATATGCCCAGTATAAGCTACCCTTTGAGCTTCACACAGACGCTTGCAGTAAAGGACTAGGTGCGGTATTATACCAGCGACAGGACGATCAACTCCGAGTCATCCGTTACGCCAGTCGTGCACTCAACAAATCGGAAAAGAACTATCCTGCGCATAAGCTGGAGTTTCTGGCTCTAAAATGGGCCATAACCGAGAAATTCCATGATTACCTGTACATGAGTAAATTCACAGTGCTGACGGATAACAACCCACTTACCTATGTCCTCACCTCAGCCAAATTAGATGCTACCAGTCATCGATGGTTGTCGGCATTAGCAGCGTTTGACTTTGATATCAGGTACAGACCAGGAAAATCCAACACCGACGCAGACGCATTATCTAGATTGCCAGACTCTGTTGAGGATTCCCAGGAAAAAATCTCAAGGGATAGTGTCAAAGCTGTATCTCAGTCATCAGTTACCTCAGCATATGTCAACTGTCTGTCGATGTCAGCTACAGCCGTGGATGTACTATTGGACGCCGAAGGTGGAATCATGGATGGAATGACTAACCGACAGTGGAGGCGAGCACAAACCCAGGATCCAGTATTGAAACCATGGATGGATGCTGTCATGAAGCATGTTCGTCTGAGACGTCAAAGTTTACCCATGACCCGTGATCATACCACGATGTATCGGAACTTCGACAAATTGCGACTAAAGCGTGGAGTGTTATACCGTGAGATTAACACTGATGGAGACAGAGGCAGACAAGAACAGCTGGTGCTGCCATCATCATTCATTGAGGGAGCTCTCAAGGGACTTCACCCTGAAAGGACAGAGTGTGACATCGGCCAACGGAGGAGTGGATAAGCCCCACTGGTCACCAGCCAACATATGGTCCATACATCTCAACCCATGGAGATGTTATGCCTCGATTACCTTTCACTCGAACCATCAAAAGGAGGAATTGGAAACATTCTTGTCATAACGGACCACTTTACACGATACGCGCAAGCCATCCCAACAAGGAATCAAACAGCCAAAACAACTGCTGAAGCAATATTCAACAACTTTATTGTACATTATGGCATACCACAGAAGGTCCATACAGATCAGGGAACCAACTTTGAGAGCGATATGATGAAGGAGCTATGTTCCATTCTGGGAATGGAAAGATCACGGACAACACCCTATCATCCCATGGGAAATGGAACGACAGAAAGGTTCAACCGGACATGGTTAAACATGCTACGGACACTAGAGGAGAGCGAAAAGTGTGATTGGGCTCGTCACATTTCTTCCCTAGTACATGCGTATAACTGCACTCGCCACGATTCTACTGGACTTTCACCATTCCAACTCATGTTCGGTAGAGAACCCCGATTACCAGTAGACATTGCCTATGGCGTGGACAGAAATAACGATTCAACAACATCGCTTTCGGATTATGTGGACAACCTCAAGACAAGGTTAGAGGAGTCTTACAAGCTAGCCTCATCATTTGCATACAAGGCGAAAGACAGACAGAAAGCACAGTACGACAAGAAAAAAAGAGGAGCTACTATACAGGTGAACGACAGAGTCCTTGTGAAGATCCTAGCGTTTGACGGAAAACATAAACTTTCGGATATCTGGGAGGAGGAAGTGTACAAGGTCTTGGAACAATCGAATAAGGACATCCCTGTATATGTAGTTGAACCGGAGTCTGGAAATGGAAGGAAACGGACTCTGCACCGCAACAATCTCCTTCCGATAGGTTCATTACCTGAACAACCAGAGGTTCCAGGGGATCGGCCCATACCGGCGAAACGCAAAACGAAGACTGTTGCCAGATAGTGCTCCAGAGGAAGTTGAGACGCAAGACGAGAACAACGATGATGATGATGATGACTACTTTGCTTGCCACTATAAGGATATCAAGGATATTGATTCCCGGATCTCAGGAGGACCAGTACCTACTGATGAAACCCAGGAAGTGATCCCACCTCAGAACCCGGATGACGATCATGGTGTTGCTGAGGCGGTTGATGTTGTACGTCCATCTGGTGACGACCAGCTCTCCGGAGAGGATGGATCTTTAGGAGGGGGAGGACGAAAGGATGTGCAGGCTGATAGAGGTCTTCGACGAAGCACCAGACAACGAGCAACGCCTGCTTGGAAGAGATCTGGTGACTACGTATTTAGGCAACAGGCATCATCATCACAACAGGACACAACTTTGAGCTCTCGGATGGCATTGTTAGAGACGCTGGCACAGCAGAGTGTTTTAAGTAGAGTGTCACCGGATGTTGCTCAAGTTCTTGTCAACAGTATATTAGGACTTGTGTAATTTTTCACTTTTGACATTATTCCTGCAGATTTAATTATTGTATCTGTCACATTATTGTACCAGATGGAGATATTTTCATGTTTTTATATTTTGTACATTTTCTACTTTATATTTTGGAATTTTGATAATTCTGAAATTTATGTATGATACCCCCTTAAGTGAATTTGTGCAATATTATTGATGATAGTATTGTCATAGTCTAGGTTGATAGATATTGTTCATGACGAGGACGTCATATTTCAAGTAAGGGGAGGATGTAACAAAGTGCAAATAATGATGTTTTATAATTTGTCTTGATTTTAAATTAAATTTAATGTTGCGCCGCGTTTATTGTGCTGTTTGCGTGTGTATGTGCACTGCGTATGGTCGCTAGGCTGTGTACCTGTATACGTGTATGTTCGTACCTGTCACTTGTCTAACCTGTTTACTTATTCTATGGTTCTATATATAGGTGTTACCTCGTTTTGGTATAGTGGTCAGTGTCTTTGTTAGCTTTTGGCGCGGTTTTAGAGAGACATTTGTAGAGGAACTGCGCGGACGTGTTACACACAGTCCGGTTCTTCCTAATTTTTACTATTCTGTGAAGTCTTCCTGAAGATCATATATATGGTATGTACAACATTTAGTTGTCATATAATCTAATGATATATTTGGTTATTTTGAATTATTATTTATTATTGTGAATTTTGGAAAAAGTATGTCTTAATTGGAATTAGCGATAAGGATTGAAATTATTGGTAAAGATTATAAAGTTATTAGAATCATATTAGTATTGGCGAAAACGTTCATATTGTCTGCAAATGTTGTTCATACATGATCTGTATGTGTTGGTATGTATCTTTTACAGATAATCCATACACGTAGATTAAGAAGTTTTTATACAGAAGTTCTTCTGTGAAACCCCCGACCCATAGTTGGGGTAGGTACATGTGTATTTTACTGATTGTAGTCAATTATGAATATGATATATAGATATTATAGTAACAATGTATAAGCATTTTCTATTCTAAGATAAATATTTATGATGATAAAAGTATTCATTATAAAGATATATTATTATTCTTGTTTTTGTTGAATAGTTTTAGCGTGATAACATATGAAATATGTATTCACTGAGCACTTCATGTACGTCATGTAAGGATTAGTAATATCTGTGATATCTGCTTAATTCTTTGTGTATTGTCTTTGTAGGTTTTTTTTATTAAATGGAATAAAAATATGAAGCGTCGATCTGCGTCCTTCTTCTTCTACACTCTATTTTACACACATACTAACGCGAAAAACACTGGTGTATCCAACTCGAAGGAATCACAAGGACCTCCGAAAATCATTCCAAGTTCTCCATTCAAGTCAAGAAGTGGTCGTGTTATCTCCAAGCCGAAACGCTACGACGTTTATGTGCTTTATGTGAAAAGGGGCAGAATATTCCCCTCTAATGTGTAAATGTGTAGGGATGGCAGTCTACATACCCTAGTCATCATTCATGTGCTTAATTCTGTGTTGAAATCACAATTTCGGTCTTTTATATAATCCAAAATCATTCGCATGGAATTCAGTCATGTGGGAAGATGAAGCTTTACATTTTATTTCCCGAAGGATCAAAGCATTCCAGATTGACATTTTTTAAAGTTAAAATACTTATTTGTGTAGTAAAATATCAGAGCTACAAATTCAATGTTTTACAGCGCAAAATACTTCTAAGACAATGGACACATAAGAACTGGTAATAATAATAGCGAGCGCTTTATGGTATTGTGTGTGTGTGTGATAATTCAACGCCACCAACCTGCCCATACGATCAACTTTAAACGGAAGTGTGGCTGGAACTTCATTACCGAAAATACACTTGCGGCAGAACGCATCGAAAATTGCCGACACGTTGAATGGATTAAAATTATTTGACAAATTATCATTTTAAGCCTCCGTGAAAAAGAAATAGTCTTACATAATTCAAATGAATTTAACAAACTGTACTTTAAAGCCCCAATATACGTAAAAATCACTATAAACAAACAAACTTTATCTTATTTTCCCCGTAATATATGTAACAAAACAAACACTTTCCTTTAATTAAAGAAAATAAAACTGACTGTTTTCAATTTAAATAAAAATTGAAAAAATCGGAAAATAATGTGGGACCCACAATAATTCATACATTACCGCTCGTAGCGATGACATTGCGCATGCGCATATACCGCGTGTGTAAACATGGCAGACACAGTACAGACATTCACCAGTCGCTTCCTTTTTTTCCAATCGTACATCAGGCCAGTTCTGAATTCTAACGTTATAATTGTGCGTCGTATCGTTTCTAAACTAATTATTCCTTCTAATAATTTCCCAACAACTGAATATTTATCACAGGAATACCTCAAGTCTACGACAAGACTTCGCAAACAATGTTTGTAAACAAAAACTTACCGTAGACATATCTGCATGTGCTTCCTCTATAAGTAGAAACCTCAACTCTCGCGAGATCAGGTCATGAACTTTCCGACGTGGTTCGGCAACAATCGTAATTTCGATGGCGGCGTGTTTAAAATGGAGATGTGTTACAGCTTTGTAAAGCAAAGATGATAGATAGTCCTCTCTGCAATATCTGTAACACTAAAAGGGAAAGTCTTGTGCATTTATTTTGAAGATCTTTTTTATCAATTCTTATAGTCTACATATGTAGTCAAAGATGATGATATATTGGTACATTTGTGTGTGCCGATGTTGTAGTGAAACGCTAGTTTTATATTGTCCGTCTGCTCTGGTAGTCAGGTCAGGGTTCAGAGTTCATTCTTTGTACATCGTGGAAAAATGCATCATGGGATATGTTTACGTGAAAGTCCAAAGGAAACAGACTTACGGATTTAGCAAGGCTTAGGTGACCCATGAGGTAACTTTAATACGGTTTAAACGTTTGAAGTTTGATTAATTTTGTTGAAATATGTACTAAGGACAGGTTAATTTCTGTATTTTTCAGTTTTTTACCGCAGGTTGGGGCGCAAGCTAGGTGCAACCAAGAACCCCTACACTGTGTTTGTGATGATTGTGAACTATGGCTATAGGAACTGGGAACTTTGTATATGTAATAAAGGAACTCATTAAAGGCGTTTAGTTTGTATTTCTTTGGACTCACTCGACATCACAGTAAAAAACTCATGGCTGAAAACCCGGGAAAAAGAACCATCAAAATGACGGAAAAGGCACGTCAGGCATTTGAGGACACAGTCGGCAAGTATAAACATAGACTGTTAAATTTATACAGAAATTTAGATTGTCTCATAACTGATATTGAGTATGAAAATATGAACTTGGATGAATTAAAATCCTTGGCATCAGACATTACCCAATCATATGAATCCTATGAACAAGTTTCAACCAAATTCAGTAAATATTTGGAAGAAAGTAGAACGGAACAAGGCCAGGAAGAATTATTATCTCATATGACAGCTGTGGAAACATTAAAATCCCAGTGTGACACGGTTTTGGACCAAATTCAATCATTTATTGACAAAATAAAACCAGTTCAAACTGTATCTGTGGTCGATAACATTTCACAGGGGTTTGTAGTCGAGGAAAAACCTCGGCATAGTGTAAGTGAATATAAAAACGGCGTTTCGGATATTATGTCAATAAAGTCGAAAACAAGTAAAACCTCAGTGCGTTCTAGCATAACTAACATCTCCAGGGTCAGTTCAGTATATATGAAACAACGAGCGAAATTGGAAGCGGCCAAAGTGAGGCTAAAATTTGCTGAGAAAGAGGCCGAATTGCAAAAATCCCTTCAGCTGTTAAAATCACAAAGAGAACTGGACGAGGCAGCAGCCGAGCTCAAGGCTATGGATGACGTTATTGACACTGGTAGCCCTATCAGACATTGTTCACAAGCACCGTCGGATGATGAGGAGTTACACAGGAAGTCTAGGACAGTTGAATTTGTGCAAAGTCAAGCCGAAAATTTGAACACCGGTTATGAAACATCCGACCCCTATTCACATAAAGTGCCGTTAAACGTTGAGGCTCGAGAATTCACCCCAGGTCAGTGTGTAACTGGACTGAATGATTTGACCAAATTTATGCTAAAGAAAGACTTGCTTATGGGTAGACTCACTCAGTTTACTGATAAACCCGAGGAGTATCGTGTCTGGAAAATGTCATTCCTAAATGTTGTAAAGGAACTTGATGTAAGCCCTCAAGAACAATTAGACTTATTATCGAAATGGTTGGGGCCAGAATCTCGAAAAAGGCTGTAAGTCTACGTGCTGCAAACATACACGACCCACCCCAAGCCTTGTGTAAAATCTGGACTAGGCTCAGTGAGAAGTACGGCGCGCCCGAGCAAATTGAGTTATCTTTGAGGGAAAGGCTAAACAAATTCCCGAAATTAACGAACCGAGATGGTCAGAAATTATTTGATCTTTCGAACATATTGGCGGAAATTCAGGCAGTAAAGGAAAACACGGCGTTCAGCTCGATAATGGCGTACTACGATTCGTCCAGCGGTATAAACCCAATTGTTTGCAAGTTACTCGTGTTCATACAGAACAAATGGACTGACTATGCGTGCAGATATCAAACCGAGCACAATGTTACATATCCGAAATTCAGTGTTTTCGAGAGGTTCATACAGGAAATGAGCTCGCGAATGAACAACCCGAGTTTCAATTACACCGATGGTACTGCGGTACCTAGCGTCAGCAAAGAACAACGTCGTACTGCGTCTACTGGAAGTAGGAATGCATACGTCTTTTCAAAGAAAACGGAAGTTAATAATGTGCCTACAGCATTTTTGTGCCCACTTCATGACAGTGCGAGAGAAGTGAAGCATTTGTTATCAGGTTGCCACCTGTTTCTATCGAAATCCAAGGACGAAAAGAGGGAAATTCTCTTAAAACACGGCGTGTGCTTTAAGTGTTGTAAGGACAAACATTTGGCCAAGGACTGTACAGAAAAAGTAATCTGTACTGTGTGTAAAGGTTCATCGCATTGCACCATGTTTCATGATGACA